GAACTGTTTCAAGTTAGACAGCTTGCATTTCTAGCTCTTTGTTTTTTTCTCACCTTGCAGTTCAGAATCTGAGAAATTTCAAATGGTCTTCCTTTAAGATCATCACTTTGTTCTTCTGGCTACTATCAAGTCCATCCACTAAATTCTTCTTTTCATACATTCTGTTTTTCAGATTTACAATACACATTTAATTCTTTAAATATTATATTTTCTGAAAAACTCATATTTTCTTCCATTTTGTCTTTTTCTCTAATCCCATAAGCATTACTGTAATTAGTGCTGACTTTTTTTTTATTTTTGACTACAGACAATAGTTTTTAAAAGAACTCTAACTAGTGAAGTAAATACATTTTTTCTGAGAGGGTGCTAGGGCGGCTGAGAGCCTGAGAACTTGAATCCGGAGATGCGCTGCACGACACTTCAGTTAGTTGTAATGCAAGTATTAGCTCTTGTACAATACAGCAATAGACCTCTATTTTTCCATGCACACTCAGGCTAAGTTTACTTATCTCCTTAGAAAATCCAACCAAAAATTGAATTTGCGTTAGAGAAAATGCTGTTTCATATTATTAGCCCTAGCAACACAAAAAGACAGTCTCTGTTTTTCTTGATGTACCCCTGGGGCCCTATGATTAATTCTTAGCCAAAAGATCGTAGGTAAACATTACTGGCCCTTCCACCACCCCCAAAAAAACCTTCTGAATAATCCCCTATGCTTGCTTGTCCCTTTGGTGACTCTGAAGGTCACAAAATAAAGATGGTGACATTGTGAAATGGAAGGGCCATCTCTCCCATTTGACGACCCCAGGCCATGATGCAAGCAAGCACTGTGCTTTTTCTTGCATGAGCCTAACGTTTGCGAGTTTGGCAGGGTCTAACCTAGCCTGGCTCAGACACATTTGCCTAGAGTTTATAATTATTAAGGGGGAGATAAGATGTATACTAAAACATTCCATTCCAGTGGAAGTCGAGGCTGAAAACAGAACCAACCCAGCGATCACAACCACCAGCTGATCAGGGCCACGGTCTGAGCCAGGACCTGTACCTGCTAGTACATGCAAGAATCTGGTCGGAGAACACCTCAGTCAAAGTTTCTTTGGAGATCTCCCCAATCAAAATGCTGGACTCAGAACCCTAACCAAGAAAAGACAGAAGACAGAACAGGTCAATCAACCATCTCAGCTATATGTTGGCAGTGAAATACGGGGCAAATGGAAACTCTAGGATGGACTATGTCAATCAGTGGATTCTTCAAAGACCTCATAGTGCTTGGAGTGGCAAGATTGGCAGCAATTTATAACTGGTGAACTATGAAAACCACTTGAGCAAGAACCTCGGAGCATACCCTACATGTGAGGAGGACCTGGGGAGGGTGGGAAATTGGGTGGGCCTTCTCCCTTAATACCCCCCTTTTAAACATGAAGAAAACAATATGGAAAAAATAATAGTCTTACCCACTTTCCTATAGCCCTTGAACCTTTTTACCCTATTTAGATATGTAAAGATTGTCAAAAATATAATAATAAAAAAAAACACCATTCCAATCCAGAATACAAACCTCCATTTATCCACCTTTTAAAGATTTGTTTATTTGAAAGGAAGAGTGACACACATACACAAACACACACAGAGATTGAGAGAGAGAGGGAGAGAGAGATCAAGAAAGAGAAACAGAGAAATCTTCTATTCACTGGCTCACTCCTCCTATTGGCTACAACACTAGGGCTGATGCAGGCTGAATCAGGAGTCTACAGCTACCCTGGCTCCCCACACCCTGCGCCACCACCACATTTTCTGAGTAACCTACTTACTCTTCATCCTTCTGCTTACTGCTTTAATGTTTCTTCCCCCTGGCCTTCCCCCCTTAGAATTTTGCATTTCTGTTGTTAAAGGTACATTAACTTTATTGTGCTTCCTTCCCAGTTGCATAGCTGACTGAAGAAGAGAGCCTGGGGATAAGAGGGGTGGCACTGTAGCACAGAGGCACAAGTTGCTGCTTGCAGCACTGGTGTTCTATAACAGACTGCCAGCTGAAGTCCTGCTTACTCCTCTCACGCATCTGGGAAGGCAGTGCCGGATGACCCGAGTACCCGAGTCCCTACAGGCCATGTGGGAGACCAGGGTGGAGTGCTAGGTTCCTGACCCAGGTAGTTGCAGCCATGTGAGGAGTCCAGACGAAAGGTCTCTGTGTCCCTTCTTTCTCTGTTACTCTGCCTTTCAAATAACTAAATGTATCTTAATAAAAACAGAGGAAGGGGAAGAGAGAGAGGGAGAGAGGAAGAGAAGGAGGGAGAGAGACAAAGAGAATGAGCAGTAAGCTTGGTGCAAATTATTTTTTTCTCTGCTGTGCATAGGCATTGTTCACCAAAAAATTCACTTCTCTTGTGTAAATACAGTGTTAATTGTCTCTTCTAGTTAAAAAAAAAAAAAAGAGAAGGCACTCATTAGGCAGCTAGTGAGCACGCATGCTAGTCTGACTAAACGAAAATGTAGGAGTAAAAATATTTATTCGTTTTGAAGTCTTAAAATGAACCAAAACTGTGTTTTGGTTTACACCGATTATACATTTAAAGGATAGCACTTTGCATATATTACTTTAAATAAAATATATTTAATTTTATAAATTATATTTTAATAAAGTATTATTAACATCAACACGGCTTGTTTCTTTTATAAAGCTAGCAGAAAATTTAAAATGTGCATGAGACAATAAATTTCTAGGTGTTGTCTGCGAAGAAAAGATAGTATAAAGAAACAATAAATGTGTTGAGTCTGCCTCCTTAAGCCACTAGCTCTATCGATGTGGCTAGATACTTAAACTATCACTTCATCAGGAAATCGTGGTGATTACACTCAATAGGGGTAATGTGTGTGGAATGCTTGACATCTGATAAGTAATTAATATTTTTTCCATGTCTTTCCCTGAGGACAAGTAGTCCATTCCTTATAGTATTTATCATTACCTATTACTAAATGGAATTCATTCTGAAATTAGCAGTTATCAGAACACTTAAACTCATGCTGCCTTGGGATGACTCCCGCAATGCAACATTCCTATTTTCTTTCTTTTTAGATTGATTTATTATTAATTGAAAGGGAAAATTACAGAAACACAAGGAGAGAGGAAGAGATTATCCATTCACTGGTTCATTCCCCAAATGGCCATGATGGCTGGAGCTGAACCAGTCCAAAGCCAGGTGCCAGGAGCTTCTTTCAGGTTTCCCACATGCATGTAGTGGCCCAAGCATTTGGCCCACTTTCTGCTGTTATAACAGGACATTAGGAAAGAGTCAGACTGGAAGTGCAGCAACTGGGACATGACTTGGTGCCCATTTGGGATACTGGCATTGCAGGTGCATGTTTAATCTACAATGCCATGGTGCCAGCCTCCAACATTTTCATTTTAAAATGTATCAATGTTTTAACTAAAAAGTGACAAAAATTTATAGTTTTATTATATTCACTTTTTCTATGCTTTAATAAATCTTACATAGCTGAACATGTTCAGTTTGAACTATAAAACATGGAAACGAAAAAGATATAGGTAAACATACATTCTTTTTCAAATAGTTATCTTAAAAAGACTCTTGACTAAATACCACTTTTAGAAATATCGAAACTGGGCACAGTGCCGTGGCCTAGCGGCTAAAGTCCTTGCCTTGAATGCGCTGGGATCCCATATGGGCACTGGTTCTATTCCTAGCAGCTCCACTTCCCATCCAGCTCCCTGCCTGGGAAAGCAGTTGAGGACGGTTCAAAGCCTTGGGACCCTGCACCTGTGTGGGAGACCTGGAGGGAATTCCTGGCTCCTGGCTCCGGATCAGCGCAGCACCAGCCATTGCGGTCATCTTCCTCTCTGTCTCTCCTCCTCTCTGTGTATCTGACTTTGCAATAAAAATAAATAAATCTTTTAAAAAATTAATTAATTAAAAAAAAGAAATAACGAAACCAATTCTACTCAAAACTAAAACAATCTGTGAAACACTCTCAATTTTCAATAACATTATAGATTAGTTTATTTTAAACAACTTAACACTTTTTTTGTCATAAAGTGATAGCATTTATTTAAAATTGGAGGAAGCAGCAGACAAACATGGGCCACCCTTGAGGATGGAGAGGGCCAGGAAAGTGCAGGTGGCTGAGAGACAGGTATGCACCTTCCGTCCCACTACAGCCACGGGGACAGAGTAATACTTTTTAAAGCTTTACTTAAAAAACAGAAAACTACAAATAACAACACAGCCAGTGTTATTGCACCCGTGCTTAGGCATTTACAACTGTTTCCATTGGACCAATCACGTTCTAAAGTAAATGGTCTTGGTAGCTGAAATACTGCTGAAATATCTGATAGAACAGCAATTCTTACAGTGAGGATACACTTACAAAACTTGTCTTTGAACTCAGAAGAAAGTGGTTACTATAAACAGGAAGCTCTGCCATTGCGCACATCCGGGAGACTCTAAAGTCAGGCAGTCACCTGAGCAGGGAGCCAGCCTGTCTGGGCTCATGGTCTTGCTCCTGATGCCTTAGAGGTCAGCTCCTCAGGCCTCCCTTGGTCAGGGGTCTTAACTATTCTCCACTCAGTGCTTCTCACTGTTCAGGCCATGCTCAGCTCAAAGTGGCCATTTCTGGACAGGGTGCAGGGCACGAGAAAAGCCTGCAGCAGCAGGATGCCAACTACACCATGTCAGCAGGAAATCCAGCCGCTGTCAGAGGGACGGCAAGAAGGAATAAGGAATTCACCCTAAAATTCGTGCAATGTAAGAAGAAAACTCAAAACTAAGGCTGTACAGGGCTTTGTCTCACAGATACCAGAATTCAGCTGAGAAAAAGAGCAAATGTAATCTAGGACTGGAATAAATGTACCTGAGAAGTTATTTTTCTCTAGCAACAAAGTAGTGTTGTAACTATTTACTAAAAGTTCGTTTATACCTAATTTCATGTCCATTTTTATTTTAAAAAGCAGATCTTAATAAAATGTTCAACAAAAGTGTTATGAATTTTAATGTCAGTCATATCAATTTATTATTAATTTTAATCTTTCCATTGGTTTTCTATATAAAAATGATCATTTTCTCAGTAGTAAGTACAGTAACTATTAAATACGATTTAAGTAGAATAATTAAGATAGAAAGCATAAGTAGCCAGAAAGCAAGTGAAGCAAAATTGTCTAGTGCAACATTTATTCTACTTTATATTAATTTTCCTCCATACATTTTTAGACCGTTAAAGCAAAATTATCTTGCTCTAAACATAAATTATGAATCATCATAAAAGATTCAAACCTTTAAAAATTATGAAACACTTCAAGATCTCATTACGGACTTGGAAATGTTGACCGTCATGCTACTGTTTGGTCTGTATTTTCTGGACCTCATCAGGCCAAGGGTAACAATCAGGCAGGATCTGGTCGTAGTCAGTGTTATACATTTGGCAGCGGACAAACGCTTCTTTGTTTTGTGGTTCAGGATAAACCGTGGCTGTCTTTTCCTGGTATGCATCTTTTACAATCTAGAAATGAGAAAAAAACGTTAGGTACCTCAACCAATAGAGCTGATGCTGAACACATACTAAGAGCTTTTGTATTAATTGGTAATTGATGCCTTGCTTGTGTCCCCCAAAGTACCATTTACAACAAAATGCTCCCAACTACAGAACATTATGCTCAGTGAAACAAGCCAATCCCAAGGGACAAATATCACATGTTCTGTCTGATATAAGGCAATGTCCATGCAAAATACAGGATGCACAGATTTATAGGTAAACATGTATATACATATATTCACCTAGAGGAACTATATAAGGAATAAAGCGCAGTAGGCATCTCTACTCCTGAATAAAAGGAGGACTCCCAGTGAAACGGTCAAATATAGCTTGACAATAGGATGCTGGCCTCTCTACCATCGTCCAGACCTGCAATGCCATAAGACACTTAAATATCAAAATGATATTAAGTGAATGTGAATCTGAATGTGAAACCATGCATTTGTGGAAAATTAAAGATCATGCCATATACTGAGGAGATGTCTAAAAGAGCAGGAAATAAAGCGGTAAATATGCCACTATCATAATGATGCTACAAAAGAATTCATTTTTTTAAAGATGAGAACCAAGCACAAAAATGTTATTTTCCCTTCCTCTATTTTCCAAAGTGCTGATAATGATGCTATTCATTTCCTTTATTTATTTGTTTTGTTATTTTATGATAAGTACTATAGGCTTTGTGATTTTAAAAAAATAATAAATCTTAAAAAAAAAAGAGAACAGAAAAGCTACAAAGTCAGATACGCAGAGAGGAGGAGAGACAGAGAGAAAGATCTTTTGCCGATGATTCACTCCCCAAGTGAGCGCAACGGCCAGTACTGCACCAGCCTGAACTTCTTCCGGGTCTCCCACGCAGGTGCAGGGTCCCAAGGCTTTGGGCCGTCCTCGACTGCTTTCCCAGGCCACAGGCAGGGAGCTGGATGGGAAGTGGGGCTCCCGGGATTTGAACTGGTGCCCATATGGGATCCCGGTGCGCTCAAGGTGAGGACTTTAACCACTAGGCTATTGTAATGGGCCCCAAAAATAGCTTTTAAAAACATAGTTTTCTACAGTTATTTCAGCATTTTAATGTACATTTAAGCCATTTTTGTGATTTTGCAGAGTTGACTAATAACCACATCCAGTGTGCTCCCAGACACGTGCTGTTGATGTCTTCGTTCAGAGAAATCTTCGCTGTCCTCACCAGTGCCAACCTCTTTGGAACAATGGCTATGCTTCTTCGCTTTCTGATTTCTCCCCTGACTTTGTCACCTCCTGCATGACTGACACTGCTGCTCTCGCAGTCTGATGACTTCCTATACTCCCAACTAAGTCTTCCTCTGTCTGTTTCTGCCTCCATCATGAAATCACTGCTTCTGTCATTTCTCACATTACATTCAGTTCAGAAACTAAAAAAGGCCTGACCACTTTTCTTCTAGTCTGCTTTCTTTTCTGTCTTCTAGGTAGAATTAACTGTATCGTTTCTTGGTTTTCTTTCCCTTCTATGCTTGGTCTTAAGGCAGCCTCGAGCACCTCTAGACCTGCACCTGTTACGTACGGAGGCGACTCCCAAATCTCTACCACCGCCTGCTAAGTTTCAGTTATTGCCAAGCACGTGTTGGCACTGCAGCACTGAATGAGCCCTGGATTCCTGACAGTAGCTACTTAGAGCAGCCTCGGCTCTCAAGCTAGCTCTGACATCCAGATTTCTGATTATGAACTCATCATTCTTATAATAACCTAGGTGTATTGTGTGAGCCTTTTTGTACTTTTCCTGTTGTCACCCATTTTCTCAGTTTCTTGTGTAATCATATGCTAATTCCTTTTCATTCAAATAATTAAAACGAACTTAAAATCATAATGTGTTATTCAGTATATTACAAGTCTAAAGTAGTTTAAAACCAGTGGATACATATTAGTAAAAAAAAAAAAAGAACACATTCATAAATAATTTAACAGATTATTGTCTAAAGAGCTTTGAAGATCATCTCTGATGATACTATCTTCACTCAATAACATAACTAATAATATCTCTTAAACGGTGTTGAGATAACCTTGCTAATAACTAAAACTAGTGGTTTTTTTTTTTTTTTCAACTAGGAGCAATGTGGTTTCCAAGGGAACACCTGGGAATTATCTAGAAACATTTCCCCTGTGTTAGTACTTGCAGGTACTACTGACACCTAGTGGGCAGAAGTGAGCAATGCTGGTAAACATCCTGCTAACCAGCTGAAAAGCCCCAGGTTAAATGCCCAGCTTGTCATGGGCTGAATCTGCCCTTTCTCCAGGTTCGCTACCACCTCTGGAGATGACTATGTAATTAAGCTACAGGTACAGGCCGTTAGGGTGAGCTCTAATCAAATCTGACTGATATCCATTTAAGAAGGGGAAATGGCCACTGGAGACAAACCCAGAGAGGGCCACAAGAAGAGCAGGCAGTGAGATGACCATCGGCCATGCACACAGAGGCCTCAGAAGAAGCCAAAACTGCTAAAACTTTGATTTTGGACTTCTACACCCTAGAACTGTGAGAAAATAAATTTCTGTTTAAGTCTGTAGTATTTGGTTATGAAACCCTTTAAAAATACAACTAAACTGCAAAAATGAGAGTTGATTTCTCTCGGTTCAGTTACAGAAAATGTCCCTGCCTTTAGCTCCTTCTTACTAATTTCTCCAACAACTCCCCTGCCACCCAGGGAGCTTTGAGCACTTTGCCCCACTGTTCTGCCTTCTGTCTACTGTTATCTATTATTGACCTCAATCTCTTCCTAAGCCACACAGGGACTCGAAGCTGGCATGTGATCTGATTCTAAATGTTACCTTGCCCTATCTGTAATATTTTGGCAATTATCACAAGGGGATATTTGGGAAAAAAAAAACTTAAAGTGCAATGAGAGGAATCTAAATAAAGGAAAAACTCCACTGAATTATTTAAAATACAGAAGAAGGGCAATGGGGACATAAGTGCTTCTTGCAATTCTTCTATTCCTCTGTAAGGATCAGATACAGCTCCCAAGAACGACCGATCACTAGGCCTCTCTTCACTGACTTTTGACATCATAACTTGAATACAGATGTATGTGTATATATATTTCAAGGACGCACAGTTTTAATATTTAAACAACAAACATATTTAGCAAAAGAGGGAAGGAGAAATAAGTAAGAGTGGTTTACCTTTTCTGCTATTTTCAGAGAAACATCTCTAATAGTACTCAAAGGAGGATAAAGCCGGCCTTCTTCCAAGTGTTTGTCTGATACTTGCTGAGATATAACCTTAAGAAATAATAGAAAAGAAGTTTACAGTTCACTGTAACCATGTGATCATTATGTGGGTAATTAAATGAGTGATCCCATACAAAGGCCATGTACAGAAACCAATCACATTGATGTGACTGCCTAACTTCACCTCCCTCTATCAATGGAAGAACTAAGTACAGAGAGGCTACTGACTGCTAGAACCGCACAATGAGTGAAAATTAGGGGAACACAATCTGGATTTTCACTTAGTCTAGTGTGTTTAAGTGTAGCCTGAGATACTGGATGCTTTCCAAGTGATACACTAGGGGAGCAGAGGGGAAGGAAGGAAGGAAGGAAGGAAGGAAGGAAGGGAGGAAGGGAGGGAGGGAGGGAGGAAGGAAGGAAGGAAGGAAGGCAGGAAGGGAAGGAGGGAGGGAAGGAAGGAAGGAAGGAAGGAAGGAAGGCAGGCAGGCAGGCAGGAAGGAAGGGAAGGAGGAAAGGAGAGCGAGGGAAGGAGAGGGAGGGAAGGAGAGGAGGAGGAGGTAAGGAGAGAGGAAGGAAGAAAGGAAGCAAAGAGGGAAATTCGGAGGAAAAGGAGGAAGGAAGGGAGATTTGAGTCCATTAGAACTTCTTAGATGTTAAGGTTTAAACATTTATGAGTGTCCAGCACCATAGGCCTATGGTAGACCCGTATCTCAATACTGACTCAACTCATTATTACTGGGAGGCTTCAGCTTATTAGTTACTGGATTTGGAAACAAGCTTCATAACCAATCAACTTCAAATTTCAAATAGTTCTAAAACACTGCTTTTATATTGCAACTATTACCACGGGTTTATTGATGATTTCCACATCACTGTACTTTCTCTATAATGCTATCAGAATATCTTGTTGAAAAGACTGGGTACAGTCAGGAGGTGTATGAATTAGGAATTATAGTTTGAGCCTTTCTGCTTCTTATGCATCCATTGAGAATTCTACACTATAAGAAAGCCAAGTAGTATTTTCTTTTAAAATACACTTAACTGCCAAAAATTTTGTGTTGCCAAATAAAAAACTAACGAACCAAAACCTACATGGCATCTTTTAAAAGTATAAAAAATAATCAGTGAAAGAACTTTCTTCTTTTTTGATTTCTAGCAGTAAATATCTGTGGTACTTTCTAGTTCTATTTAATATAACTCAACAAAAAATTCACGAAGATTTTTCTTTGTGACTGTAATGGTACTTAATGCTACTGGAGTTTTCAAAAGACAAATGAGAGACTTTGTTTTAAAAGAAGGTAATAGAAAATTATCTACAGAGATAACACTTCATTTTTAAAAATATGACATTTCAAAGAGCATAGTACAACTAGTAATAAAACGTAAATGTCGCAGTGTTTAATACTAGAAGCATGAGCCAGCCTCATCCCCAAAAACTGAGTATAAGAAGGGCCCTATGCAGTGCCAGGAAAGACAGGCTGAGTTCTGTGGAGGAAACCTCAGGACTTGTCAAGTAGGACGGGAGATAATGCAGACACGCAGGCATAAGCATACCTGGTGTGTCTGCAGGCAGTGAGACGAGGAGGAATGAAGAGAATGCCAGGTTTCTAAATATTGGCGCTTACTTGGCAAGCAGATATCAACACAGAAATGTGTCTTCCGAGCATGAGAGAAGGTAAGTATCTGTTTAAAGAAGTGTTTAACAAGACATTTCTGGGGAATGTATCAACAGAGATCTGAAGGTGTATAAAAAAAACTGAAGTGATATGAAGTATAGGAACGTGTTGAAGGCTAAGAGAATACTAGTAGAAAAGCAAAAAGATGTATCCAGGGAGACCACTATTATTACAAGAATAAAACTGTTGATCTCACCATATTTTCCCCCAATGTGTTTTGGTTGTTGATTATTTTCATGGACAGTCATGAAATTTGTCACTAGAGGGTGCTAGAGCTATTTAGGAAGGAAAATACTGTTTATAGAGCAGGAAAGATGGCTCTTTCTGCTGTGCCTGCTCTAAAACACAGTGAGGACATTTTGCTCCATGAGAGAACAACTCTAAACTGCTCTGTGAGTGACTAAATCTTTACTCATGTTAGCAAATTTTATTGAGTTAAGAAAAACTTGAAACAACACAGCTGCCATGACTCGAATACAGTGAAGTAAGAGGAGAACACAACAGCATCTAGGCCCTGCTTTCACAGAAGAGTACCAGGGGCCAACCTCTGAGCCTAGGATCTTTTGGATCACATCAGTACGAAGAATCTAGGTCTTTGCCCTAGATGCGTCTTCGTCATACTGGAAAGAACAGCATATTTGCAGGATACAAATAACTAAATATCAGTTGTTTCATCTGGTTCAATTCAGCTCTTACGTTTCAGTGATTTAGTTTTAACAAAAGAAATTCCCTCAAATTTCTCACTTGTGAACTGTTTCCTGTTCAAATATGAAAACATGATGTCGGCCAGATGAAAATTCCAGTGGCTTTACAAATATATGCCCAACACTGCACCATCTCACTGAGGCTTGACAAGCAGGACGAGGGAAACTGATGGGAACTGGAAGCTCGTGTAATCTCCTGGGCCCTAGCGATGGAACTGTAGTTGACTTGTGACCTTCAAGTAGGGTAAAATCTCAGACCTTTCATAGCTGTTGGCAGTGTCACACTCCCTGTCGGGCCTGCTGCGTGAGTCTGAGACTCTCCCCTGGGATCCACACTAGAGCTTACTTCTGCTGTTTCAATGAACTCTACAAACAATTTTCTTACTTATTTTCATTTCTGCTCAAATGCTAGCATAGGTTCTATTTTCCGCACTGAACCCTGAAAGAGGTAGCAAATCTGCTACAACATACTTTCCTTAAATGTCACTATTTAGAAAGGCCCTTGCAAGAGAAATATTTCTCCATCACCGTTTGGAAACAAATATTTAATAGTCCCTTTACTGTCACAGAACTTGATTGGAAACATCAAGGTGAATAACGGCTCATCTTAAGAAATCAAGAAGATCTTAAAAGAACATTGAGATATGAACCCACTCCCCACTTCTCACTCTCCACTAGGAACGATTTTCTTTGTTTTAGTCTTTACTTCTTCTCAACAGTAAGTCAAAATGCTATACAAATAAAGCACTAGACAACCCAAGCTGAGCACATTTTATATATGAAACAGTTCACAGTACCTCGGCGGTAGTGAGAAAGACCTTATCTGTGATGTGCCTCAACCCACAGGCCACAACACCAAGAGCAACTCCCGGGAACACGTAGGAGTTGTTGCCTTGCCCGGGATATAGGGTCCGTCCATCTGGAAGAGTGACTGGATCAAAAGGACTGCCACTGGCAAAAATTGCACGCCCCTGAAATGGACACACATTAATTTTAAAAACAAGTGTGTTATAACAGAAGTATACCACAGCCAAAATAATGACTATAGCATTCAGCAAGAGTGACATTTTGATGACCAGAGTAGAGTGGCTCAGTGGGTAAATCTAGGGCAGCTGATGCTGGAATCCTACAGCAGTGCCTGTTGTGAGTCCTGGCCGTTTCATTTCCAATTCAGCTCCCTGCTAATAACCTGGGAAAAGCAGAAGATGGTCCAAGTGCTTGGGCCTCTGCTACCCATGTGGGAGACCTGGACAAACCACTGTTCCTAGCTTTGGCCATCACGGAAGTGAACCAGCACAAGGGAGATCTCTTTTTTTCTCTGTTTCTATCTCTCCACCTTTCTCTGTAATTTGGCCTTTGTAACAAATTTTTTTAAATATTAAAAAAAAAAAAAACAACAAATGCTACCTTTTCATTAACTCTATAGGTAATGTAAGCCAATTTTTGTGATATTCTAACTCACTCTTTACTCCTACAAGTAGGTGAAGTGCAAGGTACTCTAAGACCATAATTTCATTTTCTCCATTGGTCCAAATTACACACCCATTTCTACACTAAAGGCTACCAATTGTACACCTCCAAGGATCAAACATGACACGATAAATTAGAGTATTGGGAATAACTATTTTGTTGTTTGCAAGTTAGGGATCAATGCTATTTCCAAAGTAACAACTAAAACAAACTTCATATATTTCTACAGTCAAGAGTTAAATGCAAAATTACATGGAAAACATATTAGCCAAAGTAGATGTAGTAAATGAGAGGAAGACAATATTATCAATAATTCTCAACAACTGTTTTCATTTTTCCTTATATTACTATTTTTGTCCTAAATGTCTTGAGGAATTTCATTCTTTAGATGCTTCCAGAAGGCATTCATTAGGGGCCTGCCAGATGCTCAATGTCACACTGTTAATTAAAGGAACAGTATCACATTTGTGAGGAAGAGTATGGGGTTAGTTGAGAATATTCATGAGGAAAACCCAGCAATAAAACATCACCATCTAAGAACATCATACTCTAAGAAATTCACCTCAGAAGTTGAAGGCACCAATCCCTGGAGTGTAAGTGATTACAAAATGGATTATAAAGAACAATGCAGGGTTTACTTTTTTAAAAGTAGAGCTGAAACAGCCCAGTAGTTAAGATGCCCATGTCCCATGATGGAGTGCCTGAGTTTGATGACTCTGACTTCCTGGTAATTCACACCTTGGGAGATGGCAGTGTGGGGAGGCTAAAGTAACTGGGGTCCTGCTACCCAAGTGGGAGATCTGGATTGAGTTCATAGCTCACGGTTCCCAGCTTTTTCTCTCGCTTTCTTCTTTCCTCTCCTTCCTCTTTAACAAGTAGATAAGGTCCCGAGTGAAACTGAAGTCCTCACTTTGCATGCACCTGGATTCCATATGGGTGCTGGTTCTAATCCCTGCTTCCCATCCAGCTCCCTGTTTGTGGACTGGGAGAGCAGTCGAGGCAGGCCCAAAGCCTTGGGACCCTGCACCTGTGTGGGAGACCTGGAGGAGGCTCCTGTCTCTTTGCTTCAGATCAGGCTCAGTTCTGGCCTCTTGGGGAGTGAATCAGTAAATGAAAGATCTTCTCTGTCTCTCATCCTCTCTGTATACCTGACTTTCTGGTAAAAATAAATAAATCTTTTTTAAAAATTAAATAAAAAGTATAAACACTAAAAAGCAGAGGCACAAAGTTCTTATCTGTGCAGAAAAGCGTAACTTTGTGATTTTACTGTCTGTCATAGGCCATTTTGGATTTATCTCCAAAGTAAAAATTTTAGATAGTAATAAATGATTAAACCTATAATTTGCTACAATGATTTCTTCAAGTCTTGGAAGTGAAAAATGGTTAATGTCAATATATTGTCAAGTATATCTTAGTACATAAAACATGAATAAATAGCATAAAATAAGCCAATTTTTTGAATCAGTAAAATATTGAAGCATCGAGGATTCCTATTCCAGTTGGGCTGGGTGTCAAGCGAGCTGCCCAACTGCTCCACCCATGGCAGCAGATTCAAACCCAGGATTTAGAAAGCAAAAACAGAAGACTGTGGTTTTAGACTGTATGTTTCACTATTTGAGAATAGCTGGTTAAAAGTTATTTAAATAAACACCAAGAACCAAGTCTTTTCTTTAACATTTACATTGACTTACAAATTCCTGGGGAAAAACTATCACTAAAATTAATTTTACTAAATAAGATTGATACAACAATAATCTTGAAAGGGAAATAGTTTTTATTGTTCTAACACGTTCATTGTTTTTTCAACCTTGGTTGTATAATTTTTAAAGGTACACTGTTAAATACCTTGGATATCTTCTGTCGTCCTACAGTGAATAAATATTTGATCATTAAAAAATCAGTTATACTTTTTACTTTACCTTAGTTATTTTATAGCACTGTTCAGCAGAACATTCTGCTTTGCTGGTTGGATTACTGAGAGCAAAAATAATAGGCCGCTCATTGAAGGAAGCCATATCTTGGAGAATTCGTTCTGTGAAAGCACCACCGATTGCAGCAACTCCTATTGAAGAAATGAGACACTAGTGATTATGGGCAGCAACAGTAAATTCATCCAAGCAGCCCAGAGTGTAGAAACAACACAATGTCTGGTCATCTTCTAACACACCCTGAAGCAAAATATAAAATATTTCTACTAAGCTGATAAAAAAAGATATCTGTCACTGCTAACAATCTTTATAGTTACAAATCTATAAGTATCTATAATAAATTATACATAAAATATCTGGCTTATAATAGGCTTCATTAGTGGTCAATAATCTGGAATTATGATTATAGCCTTATGCATTAGGAAATTAAAATATACCCAATATACACACACATATATACAAATTATACATTCTTGCTATAAGCAGTTTAATGGGTATATCTGTCAGACTATAAACAATTCCATTTTATAAAATGATGGTAGACATTTAAGATAACTCATTCAAATGCGAAATTAAAGTGTCACTGATTGACTAAAGTTTAGCAGAATTAAGCAGTTAGTGTGATGGAAATAGTAAGAGTACTTAAAGAAAATATTTTGTAAAACAATTTTAAAAGCTTAGTAAAGGTTCCATTTGAAGTAGCTGTTTTTATTATGGTTTTCTTATTCTCAATATTTCAAAGAGGCTTCTAGGAATGGAGTATGTTACAAAGTAAAGACTCATTTTAGAGACACAAAATGAAGGATAACAGTTCGTAACTTCTGAGACTTTTAAAAAGCTCATAAAATTGACCATGTAAAATATCTTACTGTGACCATACAACCTGTAAATAACCAGGTTAAGTGCTATGAACATTTAAAAAGAACAGTAAGACGTGATTCTTGTCTCATGGAGGGTTGAGTTTAGAGTTCCCTATCTCAGTACTATGGACATGGCTGAGGGACCATCCCTTGCATATTGTAGGACACCTAGCAGCATATTTGCCTTCTTCAAGCTAGATGTCAGTAGCTCCTTTTTTCATCCGAATCCTGTAAACTCTTGCAGTCATATTCCTTGAGGGGCAAAATCTCCTATCTGAGGACCACTGTCTGTCCAGGATGATTACATTTGGAAAGTCCTCAGACTGCCAGGAGTAAAAGGCCTACAGAGTTATCACTGGGGCCACACACTTGGCTCAGATCATCAGTAACAGTAAGATGGCATTGCTGTTGTGTGACTGAATAGATTGAATACATAATTTTGTTTGTGATTTCCAGAAAACCAAATTTTGCCTCAAAAGCAAATAGTAAGAAAACTAATCATGTCAAAGTAGGGAGTCAGGACACAAGAAGGGAGGGCAAAAAGTTTACCTATGAGTGCAGTTGGTTTTATCTCCTGAACAATGGCTTCTAAGTTCTTCATTTCTTCATGTTCATGGGCAAACTGCTCTTTTTCTTGTGTTAAGGAAGCACGTCCCTAGGTATAGAAGTAAAACTGATAAATCTGCTATGTGTGCATGGGAGTCAATGAAATCTAGGATTACATATATCACCAGAATGTATCCTGAACTTTTGTATGTGACATGACTTATAAAGTCATTCTAAAGTTTCTTCTTCAGTTGTCATTATATTATCTCATTCATTCTTTAAACAAGTGTTTATGCAGACAACCCTCCAGAAAATTGAGCCATAACAGCAAACAAAGTATTTCCCTCATTTAGTTATTTGATGATATGAAATATTTAAAGAGCGATACTGTTCGCATTAGTTACATTAGCAGATTTTTAGAATCTAGACTTTAGCTATGCACTACCCATTGGTGTGTCATTAAGAATGATCATGAAAACATTTATATCTTCCTTAGATTTTCTTAATAGTTTTTTGTTTTTAATGTTATGACAATAAACATGCTATGTGCTATATACAAAACATCTAATTACAATAGCCTATAAAGTTTTAACATTATAATAATCCTAATTACAATATCCTACCTATAAAGTTCTAAGATTCACATATCTCACTGATATCCTTAACAATTTTGAGAGAGTTCAAATGTTGCAAATGAGTTTTAGAGATATTAAGTAACTGGTGTAAAGTGAGGGAGTACACTAGAACACAAAGTTTATGCAATATAGTGCAGAATAACCAGAAAAAACATTTATAAATAATGCAATCAGATGTTTATAAATGGCTAATCCTAAAGATGTTATCATTTTGTTGCATTAAAATGTTATTGTTATTTTTTTTATTTTTAAGAACAAGACATTGATTTATAGGAAATTTCTTTCTGCTTGTTTCTTCCTCTATAAATAAGTATCATAGAAATGTCTACCGTTTCAGGTTGTGGATTAAGTAAAATAATAACAATGTAAAGCACTTAGGACTATTCCTAGTTTTAAAAAAGAGTTTAATGTTAGATATTGTAGTAATTAAAATTACTATGATGAAAATCAACCATGACATAATCACTTATAATGCTCTTTTAATTGGCTGTAAAGTATTGTTTCTGTGCCACTGTTTTCCATTATGAGCCTGACTGTGGACTGATGGTTTCCTAGAAACAGAACTCATCACTAGTCATTTTGGGGCTTCAAGGGGCCTTCTCCCTTTAAGCCAGAATACAATACATCCGAGGCATTATGAAAAAGAATCTTAATTCAATGAGAAATTTGAAGGTTACCATTTGACATTAACGTCAATAAAGAATAATTTCTAATAGTATTAACATGAATATTGCTATATCTTGTTCCCCATGCTTATTAAATAAAATTAGTCAAAAGAATCATACAATTCCTACAGTAATTGGAAAGCAGAAAATTTCTCAACAAAACCAATATTTCATCACAGCCTTTGTAGAATTATTAAGTATTTGACATAAACTCGGATTGAATTTGTAGGCAAAATTAAATCTTCAGTTATTCCCTTTATATTTTGAGACAAGATTTTTTTAAACTTGTCCTTTCATGATTTACATAAATCTCTAATATTTGAAATCTTTGCAATTCTCATGAAATGTGGAGGCACCACCTACTTGGCGATTTCACTCTGACATCTTAGCTTCATAGCTAAGTTTATTCCATCTCAATTACAGATATTAATTAGGCATTATTCCAGCATCTAAAAAGTGACTAGACCTATGCTTATAAAGAGGAAAACAGTGGTAGTTGAGGGTATCAAAGAAGTCTCCTTGGATCATGGGGTTACATACGTAAACTCCTCACAAATTGAAACCATTGTAAGTAAAAAATTCACTTAATGCACCGAACACTATAGTGTACCTTAAAAGTGCCTATTTAATAACAGTGTTGAATATCTCATGTAATTTGTCATGATACAAGAAAATAATCATTTTTTGAGCAATGCATCCATTTTACAATCCACCAATCCATTTTTAAAAAAAGATTTATCAATTTTATTTGAATTACTGAGAGAGAGACAGAGATACTATATCTGCTGGTTCACTCCCCAAAATGGCTGTAACAAGTAGAGCGGGGCCAGATCAAAGCCAGGAGACAGGAGCTTATCGCGGATCTCCAAAATGGGTGCAAGGATCCAATGATTTGGGCTACCTTCTGCTGTTTTCCCAGGCCAAAAACAGGGAGCTGGATTAGAAATGGAGCTGCCAGGACATGAACCAGTGCCCATATTGTATAGTGGCACCACAGGCAGAGGATTAGCTTCCTATACCACTGAGCCAGCCCCCAATCTACTTATTTCAATACATTATCATTGCTTTCATTACCTGGCAAAAAAATAATGTTGAATTATTAGAGAGATCAATTCTGGGTCATAGGATAACAAGTTGGAACCACTTGGCAGTTTTAACTACCTAAACAGTTTTAACTGCCTAAATATTTACAAATTATTTCTGTGAGTACTACAAGCTATATCTCACGAATATTTCGATTCTCACATAGTGAAAATTCCAGGAAAGATAGCAAATAAGGTTATGGCTTGGAAAGGCATATTTCCTGAGAATAACTTTTAGTTTTAAGTATTTCAAACAACACATACTACAGGCTTTTATTGCAGCTAGAATTTATGCATCACACACACATCTATGTATTGGACCCTCACGGCACGTTAAAGAAGAACCGAGCATCAACATGGTGGCTGCGATGCCAGCATCCCATACAGGCACAGAGATCTTACGTTCATGAGAATGAACCAGAATTAGGCTTCTCAAAGCTAATAGCACCACAGCTACCTGAAGATACACAGTTTCCTAAGCCCTGTTTCCACAGCTAAATGAATTCTAACTTAGCATATGTATTTTTAAAATCTTTTTGGTGACTGGAACTGATTAACCCATTTTGAGAATCACTGTACCAAATGATCTACCATAACCTTATCATAGACGCATTTTAAAACATATGATATATTCACAAAATGGCATAAAACATTGACTTCTAAAGGAGGAAAGTTACAGATTAATAAATTAGCAATGGCAGATTTCTAGTATTTTTTGGCAGACAATTTGAAATAAAATGAAATGTATTTGAAGTGAGTTAAACTGAGACAAATGCTTAAAGTGAGAAGCAAATTGTAAAGATAACAGATAAATACTGCATGGAAAGGAAAGCTGTATGCTTCCATTTAGACAACTTACCTCATTAGTCAGAGATCACGCCAATAGCTTCTGGCTACTGAAGCCAGAATCTGACCAGATGTCCTGTCTAGTAAGAAACATAGATTACCCACAGCTCCACCCCTAGTCTTCTTGATTACTGGTGTGACTAATGAATACTAGCATTACTAAGTGCTCTACTTGGCAAAAACAAGCAAGTTAAAACACCAAAAATACAAAAAAGGGAGCAAGGACCATAATGCAGAGGCTAAGCCTTGCGTGAGATGCTGACATCCCATATGGATGCTAGTTTAAGTCCTAGCTTTTCCATTTCCAATCTAGATCTTGTTAATGGCCTGGAAAGCAGAGGAGGATGGCCCAAGTGCTCGGGTCCCTCAACCCACTGAGTAGATACTCCTGGCTCCTAGTTTCAGATTGATCCAGCAACCATTTGGGGAATAAACCAACAGATGGAAGATCAATCTCTCTCTGTGCCTCTCCTTCTCTCTGTGTTATTCTGCCTTTCCAATAAAATTTAAAAAAAAATTTAAATATATAAAAGGTGATTGTCTTTAACATTTTTAAACATAATCTAATGAAGTGGTTAAAGAACCAATCAGGAGGCTCAGGGACGTGACCCCTGGCAACATGGCTGCTGCCAGGGCCCCCAGCTCGGCCAAGTTCGTCTCCCGGAATGCAACCAGCAGTCTTCACGCCCACTCGGAAGGCTGCTTCAGGGAGGCTGGACGCCCCACGCGTGGCCCTTTTCGGGCCTAGCGTGGGAGCACAGGTACAGCTAGCCGACACTCGGGCCGGTGGCGCTAGGGGTGTGGCTAGACCCAAGCCCGGGCCGGGAAGAGGGGCGGGGCTGACGCTCGGGGACGTGACCCCTGGCAACATGGCTGCTGCCAGGGCCCCCAGCTCGGCCAAGTTCGTCTCCCGGAATGCAACCAGCAGTCTTCACGCCCACTCGGAAGGCTGCTTCGGGGCAGCCAGTGCGCCAGTTGGCACCAGGCTTTGCCTGCTGGCCGCCCGGCCAGGGAGCCCTGAGAAATTGGTTCTCTATGCTGCTCAAGACGGCTTCATGCTGAAGCTATAGCGTTTTGGGGACACCAAGCAATCCTAAAGATTTCCAACGGCTGTAAATCTCCCTCAGACGAATTTGCTGCTATCATGGTTTCACCCCATAAGTTCCGAATGATTGTAACTCCCAATATAATGCCAATTCCTTACGATACACAGTAACTGGGTGGGAACGCAGAGAAATCTCTCATTTCCCTTGAAAAAGCTAGGAATCCACGTAGTGTAACCTGCAGGAACTAGATAAGTATCTTAAAGTTGATAGATCCAGACCAGCATTAGACAACAGCAAAAGCTATAATGACACACAGGGGAATTAGGAACGACCCAAACAGTCTATTAACAAGTGGTCATATGCACAGAATAGGGGAGAACCCCAGAGCGGAACAGAGGGACTGGAGGAGGCCTATCCCCCACCCATAAGGACTCCCGGACTCCCACCAAGGTCTATCAGAACGGACACAAGAACGTCAACGCAACTGCCAAAGAGAACACGGGGATCTGGAATGCCTCCGAATGCCGTGAACCCAGATGACAGACACCCCCTCTCTTTGGACCAACTACACGAGATGGAAGAAGCCCGAGTCCTTCCACATAGGAACCAACGACATCAGAACAACAACTAGGAACCACGATTGGTCATCAGAACCAGAAGATCAATAAACTTCTGGTGGGACAGTGGGGGAGGAATCCTCTCCAGTCCTTACCTAGTTTCAGCTCTGGGCCTCCACCCCCTATAAAGACCAACAAGGTTCCTCCTAAACCCCCCTCCCCCCCTACACACACACACACTCATACACACACTAATAGGATGAGATAACCAAAGAACAATAAAGATAGGTCATCAAGGACTCACTCATATACTATTAGATGGAACATAAACAAGTACTCATTAGCAAGGTATGAGAGATTTCTCTGCAACACCCCCCAAAATCGTTACACACCTCAATTGAGGAGGTGACATTGAAATAGTTGTAGAAGGTAATCAAGAACTTACATGTAATTTTTACATATTGTCTACTCAATACTATGTCAGACATCTAATGTTTGCCTGGATTTAACCTGTAATTTATGCTTGGTTGATTGTTACTTTTTGAACCTGTCACTGATACTGTCTAAACCCAGAGGTGTGGAAGAATTGAACTTTTTTTTTTTTTAACATATTGTTCACTCAACACTATACCAATTAATCCCATAACATTGTATATTGACGCTGATGTTTTGTTGGGGGTTTTAACTGACCGGAACTTTACTCTGTTAGCTCTACCTTCAGACCAGAGAAGGTCTCCCCAAGAGGCCACTGAACTTATCTGGACAATAAGACGCTGGACTTTATGCTAGGTACATGCTCACAATGAAGGAATTTCAACTGAACTTGAACTGTGGTTATGCAGCAAGATGGAGCAATCCACTATGGGAGGAGAGGTGTGGGAGGGGCGGGGGGACTCCCCAGTGCTTATAAAACTGTTTCACATAATACAATGTTAATAATGAAAAAAAAAAAAAAGAGCCAATCAGGAGCCCTGAACGCTAGCCTAGTGGCTAAAATCTTTGCCCTGCATGTGCCAGGATCCCATATGGGTGCCAGTTTTAATCCTAGCAGCCACGCTCCCCCCTGCAGCTGTCTAGGAGACACAGAAGAAACTCCTGGCTCCTTGTTCCTGATCAACTCAGCTCCAGCTGTTGCGGCCACTTGGAGAATGAGCCATCAGATAGAAGATCTTTCTCCGTCTCTACATCTCTTTATCTTTCCAATAAAGATAAAATAAATCTTATTTTTAAAAAATGCTTCTAATTTTCACACTGAAACTCAGGCATATAATCTTTGACTTTCATTTTTTAATAGCTACATACAAATCAATCATGCTTTATATGAAATTAAAATGGAGAAATTGATCAAGTAAATGCTTTTCACCAGGCTACTAAGTCTCTTAGGATTTATTAAAAAAGACAATATATAAAATGTATTCATTCTCATTCATGCTAGTTACAATTCTGTCTGAAATTTTCACCTAAATACTTAAGTACACATTTAATAATATAAAGAAGTAAAATTAATTTAAATGGAAAAGCACAAAATCAAAATAAAAGCAAATTAAATTAACCTATGTCTAGTCTGGGTTAGATGAAGCCTTCCCATATTCACTCTTTTTCCCTTGAATCTTTTTTATTTTACAAATTTTTTATTTTTCAAAATAAGTGTCAAACTCCCTCTGCAATTATACCTGTCAAATAAACAAAGTAAACCTTTTAAAAATAAAATAGATTCTCTAAGAAACAATTGTTTAAGCTTTATATATTATAAATAATTATAACTTAAAGTGATTATTACTGGCTCTCAGCAGATGCTGTAAAAGTACTATGGATGAAGAATCATGTAAATTTTAAAGCAATGGTATACCGACTTACTAGTCATCCTAAGATTCATTAGTCCCACAACAAAAAAAATCAGTGTAAGAATTATGGTTTTAAAAAGCATTAAAGATGAGCTGGCATTGGGATATGATGGGTAGAGCCACCTCATCCCACAGAGTGCTGCTTAATGTCTTGGCTGCTCCACTCTGCATCCAGTGCCCTGCTAATGCCCAGAGAAAAAGCAGCAGCAGATCACCTAAGTACTTCAGCTCCTACCACCCATGTGGGAAACTCAGAAGGAGCATTTACCAAAAAGAAAAAAAAAAATTACTTCAAAATATAAATAAAAACGCGAGAAAAGCTAATTGAAAGTTAATGTCTCTTTTTTTTTAAATTAAATAGTATACAAGCTATTAAATATATAACAGTCTTTCAAAATGTAACTTTATCTTGCCAAGCAAAATATATGTACTGATTTATTTTGACAAGTACAAGATTAATGAAGAGTGACTGGTTAAGTTAAGCCAACAATTTTACAGCTATTCCAAATATTGTAATCCATGGTATTTAGAGTCTTGGCTCAGTATATCTATATTAACATTATTTGAGTTATTAAAGTCTATGTATTTTATATAGGTCTCACATAAAAATATCGTTATAAACCATAAAAGTAGTAATCATAAACTTCCTCTTTTGGGGTTGTGCAATGCTTTCTATCCCTGAAATCAATATAAGCTGTGTATTTTTTTTCCTTTAGCTCCAAATATTCACATCCTGATGATCCCCACATACCTGTCTTAAACCCAGTTCCTTATGCTTACAGTCAGTTCTGAACCTCTAATTGTTGAGGGTTCAGCTCTGAGGACTCTAAGACCACCTTGAACTTGTCATGTACAAAATTAATCTCATTATCTTTCCCTTAAACTTATTTGTTCTTTTATATTAGTTGCATTTATTTGTAAGGGGTAGTGTGAGAATTGACACACGTAAACAACATGGAATGATGAAATATCTACCCAGTCATGCTTCCAGTTCTATCTCCCCCTCCAATAGCACCCTTCTTCATGTCTAACATAGTATGGTGATTGTAGTTCACAACAACACATTGTATGTCAGACAGGTACTAGACACTTTGTAGGATTTTGAAAATATAAAGAAATGAAAGACATAACCCTTAGCTTCAACAAAGATCTCTCAGTGACTATTCCACGATATCTAGGTTCAGTTTGTGATATAGGGATTTTATGATATATATGTGTATCTTCTGATGAACCCCTTAACACTTCTTTATTAATTTCTTCAAAGAATTATCATGTCTTGGGGCCTCTACACTCTCATCCTCCTATTTAATATATTTAAGATGAAAACCTCCTGTGTTCTCTGGCACTTTGAGTATTTTCTTTAAAACAATACGTTGTTATAGCACTGTAACTCTTGGTTTATTTCCATTACTTCATGAACTTCTTGAGATCAAAGGCATTATTATATCCTCACAGTTTAGAACAATGCCTGACCAACAGGACATTTAATTCAGCAAATGTTCTTATTCCAGGCCCACAACTTATGTCATATAATCACAGTTAATAGATTTTTATGACTATGCTGATTCTTCATGGTTATAGAAATCTTTAAGTCAAGAAATCTTACTGTAAGTCTCTATCTTTATAAATACACATTTACTATAACAATGTACATCTTTTTCCACCCAGGATAAAAGCACTGACAATTTTTTAAAAACTAATATTTTTCTTGCTTTATAGCAACATAATTGGAATAAGAATACATAAAATAGTACTGAAAGTAATGTAACTTTTAAAGTAACATGTACTGACATATGTTCTCTATGCCTTTCATATGCAATAAGATGATAAGTAATACAATACTGTGGCTTTTATTCATACTCCAAACCCTGCAGTGTGTCATTTATTCCTCTTTGAAAATGACTTTAAGCCTACATAATGTACTCATGTGTCTACATTTGATCTTAGTCAAAAGGCTGCGAAGCAATACTTATGTGTATAGTTCCCTATTTATTTTATGATTGTCCTTTGTTCAGGTGATATATCACTATTATTTGTATTGTTTGACAAACTCTCACTATTATAAATCATACTGTGACAGCATACTCATAAGCAAAACCTTATATACTTCCATGTAGCTACAAGACAGATACTCAAAATGGAAACCATTGCCTCAGAACCATAAACTTTTAAAGATTCCACAATCTCCAGAGCATTTGTGCACATTTACATTTATTTCTATATTAAATTCTAGGAGGCATTGCTTATCACTTGTTACTCCTTCAAACTCATCTTTACACAGAAAGGAGAGTATATGTATTTTTTTTTTCTAGTGGTTTGAACAAGAGTGCTTGAGCCTGTGAAATGGCCAACTTTTAACACAGCTGTAAAAAGGGTTAGGAATAGAAGTAGTATTTGAGATGGTCATTGAGAATGGCATATTCATTTTTATTCTGGTTAAAAATGACAAATTCTTACCTTAACTATTAGTCCTTTGGAGTCAACCAGCCATATCTTTTTGATGGCCTTCTCCTTTGGTAAACCTTCTTTCTCCATGGCCATCACAATCAGATGTGCAATACCTAAAGCAGCCTGAGAAAAAAGTTTATGAATATAAAAACATTAGAAGCGTTCCACATGGTATTTCATCAAGGGTTACATATTTTTTTTTTTTTTTCATTTTTGTCCTTGCTCTAAAAGAAGTACAAAACGGGTGTCTGTTGCACTAAAGAGCTAACTATTTAGTCATTTATCCTGGGGTCAACTATTTTTTTTTATCACTTTTAGGTTAAGAAAAACAGCAATAAATCAATCTTCTAACAGCCACAGAACCATTAATACATGGCTTGCTATTTAGTCACAGAACAACCAGTGATGTCCTTGCTCGTTAGTATCTTTAATTTGACTAATACAATTAAGATATGCTCCAACAGGAAAACATTAAAGTTCAAATAATCAACTAGTCAACCTTGCTCATTAGACTGTGTTTTATTGTTAGGTCCAAGCTCCTCTAATTGCATCTGAAAGAACGAAACCTGGTCATTCTGATGGGAACTTAACCAATTAGAATGAATAGAATCATAGAATGAAACTGAAAAACAAAATCAGCATTCTGAGCATTTATTTACTCTCCTGATTTGCACAAAATAAACTACTGTGAAATTCTTTGCAAGATTAAGGAATCACTCCTGTTGGTGGTTGGTAAAATTTGTGATAATATGTGGAATTTCTATTATGTTCCCAGGGAGTAACAAGTGACAGTGTTGAACCATCCAATGATGAACACTTTTACCCTGCTGAGTGGCAAGAACTGGCCTATGTCATTCACCAAAGCTTTTCGTAAATTCAAAGCGATTTATTAAAACTAAATACAGCATCTAATGATCTATTAAAGAACTCCAATGTTAATCAGCTGTGAGTTAATCTGTATTTTTATTTCAATCTGAAAGTGAGTTTGTTATTTATATCCCAAGAACATTCATATATTCATGTTAAGTTCACATTCATAATAATAAATTTTACAGTTTCTTAAAATATATGCATGAAGCATTATCCCATTTGTTAACTTCTAAAGAGATTTTGACAGATTTCCTGCAACTAACATTTTAATTTTTACTTTAGGAATGAAATATTATTACCAGAATTTGATTTTCTACTTTTAAACAATTAAATTTTACCGAATGATAACAGAAAACAGTCTTACTGTAATACCCTCCAATGATATTGGTTATGTTGCCTATAAAGAACCATAACACATCATATTTCTGTAACTCAAACTAACTTTTTCTGTGGTCATTTTAGAAAAATCCAATTAACATGAACTTTTAAAAAGTATTTTTATACACAGCTATGTATGTCTGCATTGAATTGTGAGTATAAATTAAGAAAGCTCTTCCATGTGATGGTAGAGGATACTAAAAGATACAGTGACTAAATAATCAAGATTTCCATCTATAATCATATCTTAAGAAGTTCTTTTCTGCATGGCACCTTAAATATACATTCAATTCCAATGGCAGCATTTGACAATCTTACAAATTTAAAACTGTGAAAACTCTCCTGTACCTCTCTGCTTCAATCTCTATGACAAGCTAACATGCCTGACAACCCAATTTTGAATCTTTAATAATACCTGTAGTTGCAATATACAAAAAGATGAACAAATACCTTAAAACTTGATTCAGTAAGTAATTTAAGCTAATGATATATTCATTGGCTTAGGAAAACATAAGTATTATATAAGGCAGGTACCTCTCCAGCTCCTTGGAATAGTATTGTTTGATCAGACAGTTTGTTCTTGGTTATTCGAAGAGCTGCAAGGAGACCCGCAACTGCAACAGATGCTGTTCCTGAAACAGGTAATAAACATCCTTGAGCAAACCTCAGCCAGACGCTGCAAAATTCTAAGCCTTTACTCATCTTTCAAACCATTACATAAGAGATTCACTGATACAGAAAATAAATCTGAGGTTGTCTAATCTCATGCTTGCTAATGAGATGAAATTTTTCAGGCCACGGGCATCAAAATTTTAATATAGCAGCATATTACTATTCTAGAAAATTTCCTCTAAAGAATATCCCATACAGAAGAGGGACTACTGGTCACTTACAATTTTGGTTTCTGCTTGGAAATTAAAGCAAGAAATTTAAAACAGAAAAAAACATTACATAAATAAAATTGTTTTATAACTGTTAAAAAAACAAAAAAAAGAATATCCCATGATTTATTTCAAAGCAATTGGTAACAGCATGGTGTCTGAATTCTTACATGAATTCCAGCTCTACTCACTTGCCAACAGAATTCACAGAAATATCTCTGCATTTAATTTCCCTCATTTGTAAAGTATTTTCACTATGTAAGATAAAAGGATACTAACTGATATTAGGTTTTTCTACCTGATTGTTATTGGTGTTTTGAAATCTCTTATTCATTTCTTTTACACAAAGGAGACACATGGTAAAAGTCTGTAGTTAATGGTGCTGATGACAAAATTGATACATTTGTAAATTAACATTTTAATTTTTCATAGTTAAATGTTAATGTTTCAAAGTTAATAGACATGAAATTTAATTGTACAACATTTATTAATTGGTTTCGTACCTGTGACAATCATTGGTGGATCCCAAATACAATATATAAAACTAATGCAAAATTTGTTTAGGATAAAAATTGTGTTTGAAAATGAGTATATAGAGAGATACCAGACAAATGAAAAACACCTAATGTATGACTCAGTTACCCCACTTCTGGGAATATTTCCAAAGGAAATGAAATCTGCATATGAGAAAGTAACCTACAATAGTTGCAATAAGGAAACAACCTAGATGCCTATTGAAAGAGGAATGGATAAAGAAATAGCTACACATCTACTCTGTGGAATAGTATTCAGCATTAAAAAGAATGAATTCTACCATTTGCAACAAAATGGTCCCAACTGGAGACCATTACATTCAGTGAAATAAGTCAGTTGCAAAATGACAAATAGCATATGTTCTCTCTGAGATAAGGCAGCCTTCATGAAAAATACAAAAGCTCACTATATAAGTAAACATGTAGGTACACATATTCATCTAGAGGAACTATATAACGGAGGCTAGCATACTGAAAAATGAAGATACATTGCAGTATTCACCTTGACTCCCAAATAAAATGAGGACTCCCAATTTAACTGTTTAATATATTTTGACAACAGGATGCTGGACTTTCTACCACTGTCTCCACCTACAATGTCATGATACACTTAGCACAATGATAGTAGACTTAGGACTGTTGCTGATGGACTGTACTATTGTAATAATATGGGGGGAAACAGTATAGGGGAAGGGAATGGTTGAGGCGGAAAGGGATATCCCTGAGCCTATGGAACTGTTATCATGAAAAAAATCACAAAAACAAAACAAAACAAAGAAACTGTGCTTTCCTCATCACACCTCATAGGCATAGAAACTCTACCAGTAGTAATTATATAACTTCACCATGTAAACTTTCACAGATCACAGAGCAGTCTTCTTGCTTTGAACATAATTACACAGCTCAAGTTCTGAATGGGGTATGCCTGAAATAAAACTCTGCAGCATCTTGCAGTGTGTTCCAGCTGTATCCACATTTTCCTCCCCTACAGTGACATTCTACCTGTAATGTTTCCTAGGTCTCTCAGCTGGGAAGTAAGTAAAGTGTTAACTAAACTTTAATTCCCCTGTGTCATTCAACCACAGATTGGGATAGATTTAATGAATGATGATGATTAAATGATGATGAAATGTAATACACACCAAGGACCAATACTTTATCATCAGTGCATCTTCAACCCTTTCCTGTGTTTCTTTGTTGTATAACTAGAAAGTAATAAACAGGGTCACAATAAATAATAATTGTTTGAGGTCTGTATGTCCTGTGTGTTTTTTATTTATAAATGCAATGTATATTGAATTAGATGCTTTAAATTTTGAGTCATCATTACGAACTAAGTCTACATACATATGCAATGTATGAGGCAAGTCGTACTTTATGCTCCTTCATAATAAAATAAAGTCTGAACAAAAATAATCACTTTTGTCTAGATTCTGCATCTAGACAGAATTGAAATATCTGTTCCATAAATCTAGATATATTATTAGAGTTGTTAAATAGGCTGGAGATCATTTAAATTAAAAACAAAGAATCAGATATCCAGTTGCTAAATATACAGCTATTTAAAAAGATATATTAAGTTATGTCTGTCTCAGATTCTTTTGTAAAAAATTGTCCAGAAACTAAGGTGTGAGGAACTAAAATTCTTACCAACTCTGAGATTCCATGATTTATGAGTTCCTATGTCTTCTTGCAATATCACAAGATTTAATCAGAGCAGTCAATCAATACAAGTGTTTGTATTATTATTTATACATTAAGTAGAACTAGATGTTTGAGGGAAATATAAAATATTGCAAAATATCCTAAAAATAAAGAAGAAATCTATTTTCATACAGTTATGGTGTATCACTCTGTAATGAAATTCAAAAAGCATATTTTCAGATACATTACCCCAAACAGGCAAAATAAGACTATTTTATCTACACTTCATACCAGAGATGCAAATGTAATTCTTTCAGTAAGTCAGAAGGATTGAGGGCTTACACTTGAAGAGACTTTATAATTAACAGTAAGATACTAAAGAGACTGAATCTTTCTTCTATAATTGCCTGTACCTACAATGTCATGTTGTATTTAAATATCAGAATGCTGGACTTGCGCCCGGCGCGGTAGCCTAATGGCTAATGCCCTAGCTTTGCATGCATTGGGATAGCATATGGGTACTGGTTCTAATCCCAGTGGCCCTGCTTTCCATTCAGCTTCCTGCTTGTGACCTGGAAAAGCAGTTGAGCACAGCCCGAAGCTTTGGGACCCTGCACCTGCATGGGGGACCGGGAAGAAGCTCTTGGTTCCTGGCTTCAGATCAGTTCAGCTCTAGCTGTTGCCATCACTTGGGGAGTCAATCAATGGACAGAATATCTTCCTCTTCGTCAGTCCTCCTCTGTATATCTGCCTTTCCAAGAAAAATAAATAAATCTTTTTTAAAAAAATTACTTTGAGAAAAAAAAAGAATGCTAGACTTGTGATTATCTGTGAAGGATTATACTGTCTTTACAATGTGGGGGAGCACAGTACGTGCGGGGGGGGGATGGAGGGTGAGGGAAGGAATGGGGGAATCCCTATGTCTACAAAACTGTATCATGGAAAATAATAACAATAAAACACAAAAAGAAGAATTTATTTGATAATAACTCATTTACAGCTTATAATTTTTTAAAATCCTGGAAACTTCTATTGATATTCATATAATATTCCTTCAACAACAACAAAAGTCACCAGTTGTCCTATGTTTGTAGTGGATTTGTGAAGAGCATAGCAACAAAACCTGTTTAACTGTGATGAGCACAATAAGGAATATTAACTAACATTATATAATGTTAAACCTGTGTGTGAAATGTATGAAACATTAGTTAATCAAATGTAGTAATAAATCATATGTAAATAAAATTTCTTCTCTTAAGGAGCAATATTAAGTGGTATTTCACAATTTGTCTGTGAATGAGGATTGCTCATGAGAGTGTAGACAAGATAATATTCACAGCCCTGACCCCAGCAGTCTGTGAGGAGGAGAGAGGAGAGAGGCTGAAGGTCAACCAATCAATTCAAGTTCTGGACAGAGTCTAACAAATAAGGGGCTCAGTTGGATAGGCAGGTTGGTCTCAAGTAGCACCTTGAGGAATGGGACACTTCTCAAGTGTCCAAGCCTGAGCCAAAGAGAGCAGATTCGAGCACCACTCTAATGCTACCCTCTCCTCAGAGATGACAGCACCTCCTGCTCGCTCTCCTCTCTCTCTTCTCTCTCTTCTCCCTAACCTCACCCTCCCTATAAGGAACATAGAATAAGTATGATGGCCTAAGGATGTGTCCTCTGTCCTGACACTAGGAAACTCTTGAGGTCTTCTGGTACAGGAATAAAAGACTTAGGATTGGGTATATGTGAATTAGAAATGTTAAGTGCAGTTAAGTTGCAAAGTAGAATTTAAGCTAGACTGTTGTGTGCCTAAGAATAAAACATTAAAATGCAGGATCCTATCATGAAAGTCTCTTAATTGCGCTCCAGGCAACAGAACCATCACTGGAGCACCTGTGCTGGGGGACTAGGGAAAGATGTTCAGGAATTATCAGGAGGTTGAAAAAGGCAGGAAAAAGACATGCAGATACACAGAGACAACACGGACTCTTTAAAATAGGAGATTGACTACATAATAAGTATTCCACCAAATGCTGCTAAAGCAACAGAAAACAGCTTTTTTTATTTTCTTAAAGATTTTTTCTTTATTGGAAAGGCAGATATACAGAGAGGAGAGACAGAGAGGAAGATCTTCTGTCCGATGATTCACTCCCCAAGTGAGCTCAACGGCTGATGCTATGCTGATCCGAAGCCAGGAGCCTCTTCGGGTCTCCCACGCGGGTGCAGGGTCCCAAGGCTTTGGGCCGTGCTCGACTGCTTTCCCGGGCCACAGGCAGGGAGCTGGATGGGAAGTGGGGCTGCCGGGCATGCAAGGCGAGGACATTAACCACTGTGCCACCATGCTGGGCCCAGCTTTTTTTTTTTTTTTAAAGTCAATGAGACTTAAAGCAGGTAGCAGCAAAATTTTAGCAGCTAGGTTTCTAATTGGGAAATGGAAGCTCAGCAGACTTGAATAAGCTCAATGTCTAGCTAGCATGGTGAATGATAAGAAGTGATCATATTGAGGCAGCAAAACTCTCACAAGGTCTATTGGTAAAAGGCACTCATGCTTCTAGAAGTGGAGATAAAATATTTAAAAATAGGAA